GAGAGAATAAGAAAGAAGGAAAGCGAGGAAGAAACAAGAATGAAAACGGTGAGAAGAATTAAGAACGAAGAATGAGAGAGGGAGATGGAAAGAAAAATGAGTGAAGAAGAAATGAGCACAACTGAGAGAAGAAGAAAGAATGAAATATAAGCGAAATGGAAAGGAATAAAAACGCGAAAAAAACAAATAAATAAATGCAAAAATAAGTCAAAAAACGACGAATGAAAGCAGGAAAGATGGATAATGAAAAATGGAGAAGGAAAAAAAGAAAGAAAGAATGAAAAAGAAAGCACGAAATAATTACTGTATTAAAGAAGGAACATAATGAAGGCCATAGAAGGAAAAAAAAAAAAAAAAAAACAAGCAATGTACGAACGCCCCAAACTAAAAATAGAGAGAAACTGATATTTAAACGAGAGAAACGAATAATGAACCAGTAAAAATACGTGAGAAAAAAAAGACGTCATTTGTTTAAAAAAAGGTAAAAGCTAAAAAGAAGAGGAAGAAAAATAAAGAAAAGAGAGTAGAAAAAAGAGAAAGAGGAAAAAAGTGTGAATGATTTAATGTTATAATGAAATAAATAAATTAAAAAAAAGTGACCAAATGAAACAGGAAGAAAAAATATTTCTTCAATGTGATGTGTCCTTTCAGAACGTAGGGCTCCACAACTTCGTCTCTTTGTAGCACTTAGCAATGCTGAGCTTTTTGCTATCTCCTAATCCTGTTCTGCTAAACATTTCCATAATGTTTTTAGCTTGGTTATTTGTTGCTATCCTTTGTCCTTCTGCTTTTCATTACCGTATATACTCACGAATAGGTCACAATTTTTTTTACCAAAAAATTCACAAAATATTAGGGGTGCGACCTACCCGCTCGTCAAAAATCTAAATCAACACTATCTTGTATGATTTCTGAGAAATCGGATATGATACCCATATAAACTAAAGCTTTGTTTTTTCTCCGTATATAAACAATTTATCTATCATCATACTTATTATAAAACCCAGGTTGTGTGTGTGTGTGTGTGTGTGTGTGTGTGTGTGTGTGTGTGTGTGTGTGTGTGTTCGTTTATATATTGGATCGGATTTCCTACATTTTTCAACCGATTTCAACACAACTTCACAGGACTACGTAAAATTACCTTAAGGTGGTTCTGACAGCGCCAAAAATTGGAAAAACACAATAGTTTTTGCACGAAATCAATTTGAAAATACGATTAAGAGGCATCGCTGTCAGGAGAATGAAAGGGGGGAAACTCATATCGAGTTATACTTATTATAAAACCCAGGTTGTTTGTGTATGTGTGTGTGTGTTCGTTTATATATGGGATCGGATTTCCGACATTTTTCAACCGATTTCAACAAAACTTCACTTTTTTTGGCAGGTAATGTTTCTTATTGTCTTGCACATTTTTTTCTTTATTTTTACATTCAGAATGCTTTAAAAAATTCCATTTGCAAGACAATTGTTTATAATAAAATTCTATTCAATCGGTAGACTCATAACGATTGAAAATAATGCTTTTGTTTGAGTTTGTGTTTGATCAATTCGTAAAAAAAAAAAAAAAAAAAAACTAATTAAGACATGCGTGTCCGTCAACCTTAAACAATAATCTTTGTTAATTTTATTTTTCAGTCTTTATGATGGTCGATACTTGATCTATCTCTTACTGTTACACCCCCGGGCAACACCGGGCTCTACGGCTAGTATATACTATAGTGGGTTATCAGTTATAGTGAAGTGTATGAGTGTTGAAACAGACTATTTTGATTTGGCCTTGTTAGTTAGATAGCCCACTATAAGATTGTAAAGTGAAACAACAAATTTATATACATATAAATCAATCAAGGTCTCTAAAAATAAAATTAATCTATTTTGGTTGATACAAGGTCGTCAAAATGTTCGTAGTAGTCCTTGCAAGAATGAGTTTATGTGTACTTAGGCAGGAACGTATATGTGGTTGTATGTATGCATGTATGTATGAGCGTTGTCGTAGAGTAGGAATGTCTTCGAAGTAATCGCTCAGTCTTAAAATGTTCCGTTCGTTTATCAAGTATAAAAGAGGTGGTGGAGAAAGGTAGAGATAATAACGATCGCTTGACGTTTGTCAAGGGACGTGTTAATAAGCTAGTCTCCTCTCTGGTGACAGGCGAACTTGCCCGTCTTTTATTTTGTTTGTGGGGCTTGAAAAGGTCATTTGGTAATTCACTCCCGGATATGATTCAGGCCTTTCCATTGGACGACGAACAAACTTCGCGTCGGCTCGCGAAAAGGTACGTAAAAGAATTTGTTTCTGAGAATTGAAGATTATTTGAATTTTGTTTTTAAATGTTTCGTAGTTTTCTTTTGCCCGAAAAACATTTCGCATCAAGGTGTGAAATTTCACGAGTTTTGTTTTGGATTCGCTTTTGGGTGTGTGTTAAGCAAAGTTTGTAAATTCGAGTCTTTTTAATTTCTGACAAAATCAATGAGTCAGTGCTTAGCATTTGAAATTTTAAATCTAAATCTTGTTTTGTTCACTACAATACTGACTCACTGCTTTAAACTCACCGCATGCTGCTAGATTCACATAACCCCTCACAATAAATAAATAAAATTATATCAAATATTCATTGATCAATCAGTCACCGTTCGGTCGGGTGCCTCGCACTAGACTGATATAGAAACCCTGAACAATAGATACAGGCATAAGTTAAGGAATCATGTAGAAATGTTTATTGAAAAAGAAAAAAAATAGTTCTACGATTCTTTCTGCAAAATATATATATATATAAAATATATTGGAAAATATGACTTAAAGAAATGAAATATATTGTTTATGAGATAATTTTCTTTAATGGTTGTTTCGTAACATTGAAAGGTTTTCTTAAGTGTTATTTACAAATAAGAAAGCGTATGAATCTAGTACCCAAAAACGTTCGCACTATTTTGCATTGCGCAGTGATATAGTTGGTAGCCAAATTTATAGTTTTGTAATTTTAATTGTTGCAAACACTAATCATGAGTAAAAGAAAGAGTTATGAAGCAGGTTTTAAATTAAAACTACTAAATTATGCAGAAGAACATGAAAATCGATCAACAGAAAGGCAGTTTGAAGTTTCAGAAAAGGTTGTCAGAGGATGGAGAAAGCAAACAAGATCAGCTTAAAGAAATGCCGAAATCAAAGCGAGCAGCAATGTGTTCAGTATCCCCATATAACAATTTGGAAAAAGAATTATATGATTGCGTTGTGGATATAAGAAATAACGACGTTATTGTAACAATAACAATAATATGAGATAAATACTTTTATATTATTCGAACTATTGTCCTCATCTTTGTTGCCATATTTATCACAACGTTGTACGCCCCGTCCTTCTTGACGTGTTTAGAATGTCGGACTGAACCTTTTATCTGGCTCGCTGGGGTAGACTGTTCTAGTTCCACGTGTCATATCTAATAGATGTCCAATGACAGGACCCAAAGAGTTGTGAGTTCAATACCTGGTTAAAGCAGTGGAGAAATTGGAGAGGTGAATTAACAGAAGATAACTGATAACTAACATCCATTTAACATGGCACGTGGAACTAGAACAGTCTACCCCCAACGAGCGAAATAAAGTGTTCAGTTCAACATTCCAACCACCTGAAGAAGGCCGGAGTGTACAACGGCCGAAACTTTGTGATAAATATGGCAACAAAGATGAGGGAAATAGTCCGAATAATGTAAATAGTGTACATAATACCTCATCTCAGAAATATAGACAGACACTGAAAGGCCGAAATGTTGTAATAAATATGGCGACAAAGATGAGGACAATAGTTCAAATAATGTAAATAGTGTACATAACACCTCATCTCAGAAATATAGACAGATACTGAAAGGCCGAAACGTTGTTATAAATATGGCGACAAAGATGAGGACAATAGTCCGAATAATGTAAATAGTGTACATAATACCAGTACAGCAATTACTTTTATTTTGTTTATATGATGATTGAAGAATTGTATTTTAACTTCAAAAGTGTATTAATAATTGTGAGTTTTAAAATAAAAAGGTAGAAATAAAGGCAGTATATCTGATAATTCGTACGTTTTAGAAAGGCGGTGTAACTCTCAGATTATAGTGCGACGTATCTGCGAGTCAACAGTAAATCATTAATTATTAAGCCATAAAGTAGGCGTGCGACCTGTCCGGTGGGGCGACCTGTCCGCGAGTAAATATGGTATATCTTGTTGGGGGTGTCAAATATTCTAAGACCCCTTTCCTCATTATGCGTACAAGATATTTCAACTGTTTCTTCCTGATACTCAGTATAGGTGTCCTTTTTGTTGCTAATAAAAAAAAAATTAATTTCGTTGCTAACATCTTCATTGGATGCTATTTGTAAATCGGAAGAATCCTTCTGTAGATGAAAGAAACGTTTAAATTTAAAATGAATAAAAAAATGAAGTATAAAGAAAGAAAATGATGAAGGAAAAGAAATGTCATAAAAGAACGGAAAAAATTTAAAAAAGAAAAAAGAAAAAAAAACAAGGTTGAAAAAAAGAAAATCTGAAAAAAGAAGCAAAGAAAGAAAGAATGAAAGAAAAAAAAAAAAAGAAAAAAGAAGAAGAAATGAAGATGAATGAAAAAAAAGAAAAAGAAAAAGAAAGAAGGTTTATTAAAAAAAAAAGAAAAAGGTGGGAGGAGAACTTCAAAAAGAAAAAAAAAAATGAAAAAAAATGAAGAAAAAGAAAAAAAGAAAATGAAGTTGAACGGAAAAAAGAAAGAAAGAAGCAAAGAAAGAAAGAAAAACAAAAAGAAAGAAAAAAAAAGAAAGAAAGAAAAGCAAAAGAAAGAAGCAAAGAAAAAGAAGCAAAAAGAAAAAAAGGAGAAGAAAGAAAAAAAAGCAAAGAAAAAAAGAAAGAAAGAAAAAAGAAAAAAGAAAAAAAAAAGCAAAAAAAAAAGCAAAGAAAAAAGAAAGAAAAGAAAGAAAGAAAAAGCAAAAGCAAAAGAAGCAAAGAAAAAAGAAGAAAGAA